AGAAGAAAGACGAAACTGGAAGCTTCGATGATGACCCAAGACCTGGCCGCACACCAACCCTTTCGCCACGTTATAAGTGAAACATAGTACGACTAATACAATCTGGAAAATGCTTCACCGCTGTCCAGATCCAACGCGAGCTCAAAAATGAACTGGATGTTAATTTATCGTAATGCATGAAATAAAGATTAGGCCAATGAAGTCGAACAGGAAATATTTATAAAATAACATAATCAAAATATATTTCAAACTTACGAAGAAGCCCAGAATGAAATTCAGCCTGTTGAACAAATTCTGCGGTGTTAAGAATATCAGATGTACATCGATAAGTATTATGTGACTGAATATTATCTTCTCAATAACCAAAGAGTCAAAGCCTATCAAACTTGCTGACAAGCAAAACAATTGTATTTGTCAGCTGTGGTGACTGGGATGCATATCAATATAATGTATATCACTGGAAGCTACGTAAATAATATTTCTGCAATTATTTCCATCAGTATATTTATTGGTTTAACCGGGATGAATGAGAACAAATCGAGAGATAATCCAGAAGTTACGTATGCAGAGGAAACTAACTGAGGTTTACATTACCTGTAATGAGATTAGAAAAGCAATCCTATCTTGATATATCATGAAAGGAGATATCGAGGAAGAGATATGAATAATTAGTTATGTTGGGTTAGAAAATACTATGGCAGCAGAAATCTTCCAAAGTATTTATCAGCAATTATACTGGTATGATGCTTGCAACTGGCAAAGCTTGAATATATTAATGTCAAGCTATGTCTAGAATACCTGATACCCTTATAGCCAGGATATCTACGATAACTGTGCGCAACCAGGAAAAGAATCATGGTCAGACATAAAAAGATTACTGAGTATTAAAGGAAAAGAACGAATGAATGATACATACATTTCTGAAGAGATTCTCGTTTCTGTCCGAGAACTTTCAAGTCAAACACCATCATCAAGCAATCATGATCAAGTCACAATGGAATCCTTCGAGGTAACTACTAGTCATGCATCAGATTTCGAGTTGCCTGACCTCTCGTCATCATTTGCAGACCTTTATAATTGTCTTCGAGAAATTAAACAAGAAATCCAGACCATGTAATTTACCATTTCTACTAGAGAAACTTCTGATTTGACCCAAATAATATAAATGTCAGTAATCAATCTGTTAAAACCAAGGAAATAAATTACCTTTTAAAAGTATATAAGGATCATGATTATATAGAGAAACCCAATAAAGCTTATTAAGATAACGCAGGACTTGATTTATATTATCTAGGTAAGCAAAATCTAATAGTAGAATCACAAGAAACTATAGTATTAGATTTCTGTGTCACTCTCGAGATTCTGCCAGGCATCGTCTGTCAGTTAATGTCCAGATAATTCATATAAGTACATTGCCAAAATCTAGCTCATTGAGATCTCATTTGTATGTCTTTACCGGAGTCTATAATTTATTTCTTTGCCGAATATCATCATCATCATCATCCTGGAAGTATACCTTTTTAGTAATGGGCCAGTCATCACTGCGAGCATACATGAGATAAGGTTTGTTATCCAGATCCTGTTTTTTGACTTCATATTCCTCATCTGAAATTTCTTCTCCAATCTCACTTTTAGTTTCCTCCTCTTCTTCGCTATCAAAGAGTCCTCTTATTTGTCCATGTATATATTTAATAGCAATTTCCTCTTTTATTTATTTCATACGAAGGTCATTAATTCATTTTTGATATTAATATTTGCGTGGATTTTATTTAGAAGTCCATTCCCACTACTATGATATTAGTGTAGGCTTCCGTAATATTCACTTCAGTAGGAATTATGATCCCGTCAATTATTATTGGCAAATCATCAACTGTTCCCAAATGCTATTTTGATTATCCATTAATGTCAGTCATGAACATAGTGAATTTTTGCTGAATCTTAATTTCTTGTTTTTTCAGGAAATTCTTTGTGATAATATACCCTGAAGCTTCTGTATTAACTATTAGATCAATCATAGTTTCTCCCACCCTGGCCTCGCACCAGGCAGAAGTAATCTTTATTCTTTGGACCATTAATCTGATAATCTGTCTTATCATATTTTTCTAGATCAGTCATCTCATAGACTTTGACATTTTTATGCGTTAGAACAGAGACATTTCTATCAATTGGGCGATTGTTATGTTAGTTGCAAGTTCTTTGGTAATATCATACGGTACTGCTTTATTTGTCAGTACCAGTAAGATGACCTTTCCCTTTTTTCGTTTCAGCTTCTTTTTCTCATCTGCCACTTCTACTACATTTGATGGACCAGTTTCCCTCATGTCGTTATTTGCTACTGCTTCTTCCGGTCTTGGTTGCTCCACAATGGAAATTTCTTTTAAACTATTTGTTTGTTTTTATGTATGGATTATGTCGATCGATTATTCGGAGTCTTCTTTCTTCTATCATGTATTGATGGATTGCTAACAGGAAATTAATGGTATTCGGATATTGGTTCTCTCTTTGAGTGTTTATTGCCACTGTTAGCTCCTGAATTTGGGGCCATTAAGGCGATATTGTCATTAGTAATTGATATTCTATTATGCATCAATCAATCCTCTGAGTTAAGCTGACTGTTGCCTTGTAATGTTGGATCATAGCTATCCCACCTATTTCCATCCTGTCTGTTCCAAGTATGAACAATCGTTCTTTGATTATTTTGTCAATTAGACTTTGATTCGCCATATTGACTTTTGTTTGTCTGTTTGGACACGGTTTCTAAGCCATCCAGCCTGCGAGTAATCTCCTGAATCAAGACCGCCAGCTGGTTAATATATATATTAGAGATACTACTTGCTTAATGGTAAGTCATAGAGAGCGGTTTAACTCGGCTTCCTCTGCTTTCTTAGCTACTTCTATGGTATTTATGAGTGTACCATTTGCATTAACCTTTGCTCATTTCCTCAGTTCAGATCTCAGTTCTCTGTAGTAAATTCTGATATGACTATCTTCATTAATACAATCATCCGGATCTGCTTTACAAAGCAGTTCGTAGTATCCATCGATATACTCGTCCATGGTTCCAATTGGCTATAGTTCTTTCAACTTTTCTCTCTACTTATTCAGCTTCTGATTAGTTCAGAACTTAAGAGTGAAGTGGTATTTAAAATCATGTTCATTATTTTCAGCGGTAGTCCAATCAGCTAGTTGGATAGCGTTATTCACGGCTTGCTCATCAAACCAAATATCCACGCATGACTTGTATTTTCCTTTCTTTGGTAAGCCTATTAGTAGTAGCGGCTACTTCGAAATCCTTCGGCCAGGCTACCGGATCTTGGTTGACACCCCGGAACTTCTGAATAGATATGATCATTTTTTCAATAGCTCTCACATTTTGCGTAGTCAACGCATTGGTTAATTCCTGAACTGTGGCCAGCACTGCAATTGTGTCGGCTATTTCTTCTGGATCCAAAAGATCTTCTAGATTAGAATTGGAAAGGTCCGATACACGATCATTGTCTTGGTCAAAGTTTTCCGGCAGCTCGATTTCTTCTCCCGAGCTTAATTCTTTGCTCATTATTTTAGCTTGGTGAAGCGGAATTACTATTTGTTGGTCCGGAAATTCATCGCCACTAGATTCAGAAGGTTCATTATTGAATAGAGTAAGTATTTGTATTTGTTCGTTTTGGGTGAGTCTTCGTTTGTATATAATTGAATTAAGTAGTTTCTTAATAATTCCTTCTGCAGGCTGTACTCGGTTTTACTCGGTTTTGCTCTAAGTGTTCAAATATAATCTGGGTGGTACGCGAATAATTGACAGCACTGTTCTTTCATAGTCAAGCCCAAAATTCTGTAAAGGATTGTGAGTTTTCCGGAGCAAGTAAATAATAAAAGTGGCAATATTGTGATGATCTACTGGGTGGTTCGTATTGTGGGTTCAGATGGTTTTCAAGATGTTTTCTTTAAAGTTGTAAATCTCGCTCATGCAAAGATTTCAACAATCTGTGGCAGGCGGTTTTATCAGAATATTTATTGATTAGATAAGTTAATCCACAGAGCAGAGCATCAAACTGTTATGTTGACTCCAAAAGTGGTTGGATTTTGGAATTTACAATGTTTCAATAGAGTAGAGTGAAGACTGATTGATTTACAAAAGAGGGATTTCCCAATTATTCTATAGATCTCCTGTGTTAGTTTTTATGAAAACTACGATTACCAACTATTTATATGAGGAATTAGGCACACAGCAAATTCTAATACAGCACAAAGCAAAATCAACAGTTGGATTTATCCGATGCCAACAAACAAAATTCTCAAGATAAACTCAGTTTAATTTTAGAGTGGGGTTCTTCCACTATCAATTTGTGTTAGGGACAAAAGAAAATAAATTCCTCTTGTACGCAAGATCTTAAGATGAGCAACAGGATTTTATTTGGAGTTTTTCCTTTTTATTATTATTATTTTTTTTTGAAGGCCAAGAACTCTCCTTTTTAAAATTATTCTATAGTTATTGAACAGCAAATATTATAATTGAAATTTAGATCTAATACTGAGGCTATTTTTGTAGAACGGCATCTCTTTCTCTTCTATTTAGACTTCTCTAAGATAATACGGAAAATTCAATGATAATAATAATTACAGAATAAATCATTCAACTATGATGCTATGATAAAAGACGGTTATTACGTTGACCGTATCATAGAGAGCATTGGCACATGTCGATTCCCATGAGAGTTATCACTATTATCATTATTACGATACTCCCTGTTAGGCAAGAATTAAGGAATTGCGGAATTTAAGGTTACTTCGGTAACAGTATTTAATAGATTAGTGCATATGATCTTAATATTATGGCGCTCTTTTTATACATGTTAGTTTCTACTTTTCTTTAATTAGCTCTTTTTGTAAATTTCCAAGACTTTGACATTGTTAAATTTTGACAATGTCAAATACAAAATGTTTAACTATTTCTAAAATAGAATTTCTTGACACTGCCAAAATCACAAGGAAATTAGTTGTTATTATTCGCAATAATAATTAAAAAGTCATAATGTGATACTATTAATTAAAGATTTAGAAAATGATGTTGAAATCACAAAAAATTATGAAATCAAGAATTCGAAGTTGTAAAAACAACAATATGACGTGCTTCTGCATATTGATTTGCTTTATCAATTATTATTTTATATTCTTGGCTAATTGATGTTTTAGACTTTTGCAATTAAAATTATAATTTTATTTGATAAATGCGCGTATTCAAATACAAATAAAATACGAAATCTATTATTCAAATTTTTTTTTCTGTTCTCAGTCAATATACATGTATGTATAATAAATCACAGCACCAAGAACCGACCCAACAATCGTTCCCAACTATGCATCTCTCGTCTTATCGACGCAATTTCTATCTGTGAATCAACGATACGTTCCGAAACATCTGTATGCAGTACATCAGGATGTGGCGTAGGAGAGCTTTCTTCGTCAACAATTCCTTCATTTTCATCAAATACGGTTACAAAGGGATTATTATTTGGTTTTCGTGCATCATTGTCGCTGGATGACGATTGTAAATTTAAATTCGGATTTGTCGAATTTTTTCTGCTATGTACTTCATCATCGCGTATTCTGCGAAATCCTGTTCGGTCATTTGACGTTATAGTTCTAAGCGGTGTAATATTCTGTGTCGATTCATTTAGTCGGCCAAGCATTATTCCGTCTTCTTCACTTCCTAAGTGCAACGGGTGCCCAGCTTCTGCGGTATGAAATACGTATTTTTGCATTATGCCATAAGGATCAAGCCGATTTTTGCCAAAAAATAATTGATAGATTGCAAGAACCACTGCAAAAGAACTGCTTAGGGCAGGTAAAAGGTCTAGGAAATCAAAACTTGGTTTCTCGCGATAGACTGATATTACGTATCCATCTTTATTTGCGTGAAATGCTGGTCTTTTGAAATGATATAATTATGTTTTTATAATTTGTATTTGTATCTTCAAAATAAGAATTAATATCGAACCTCAAATAGATCTCGCCCCATTTATTTGTTTCGTTTTTGAAGCTATGTACATTTCTTTTTATGGTCGTCGCATCATAGATTATCTGAATCATACCATTCTATCAAAAAATATATAAAATAATTAGAAAATAATCAATTCAAAATTACAAATATTTTAATATACCCTTTGAAAAAACTCTCTTCTTGATAAAGTAATAGACATTCTCGTGGGCAAATTAAGGTAATCTACACGTGCTAATCGCGCGTCCTCGTTAATCCATGGCCAGTAAATGCCAAAATAAACTATTGAAAAATTGCAATAATTGATTAGCAAATAATTTCATTACTTCAAATGAATAAATAGAGTAATACCCCATCGATTCAAGCGTGAAGCTTTTGTGGTCGTTTCATTCGAATATATTTGAACGGTCAATTCTTCCAGTTTATTTGGTCGAAATTGTAAAGATTCTGGAGAAACGAAAACAAAACAATCTTTTGCATTCGAATACCATTCTAATAAAATTAGAGGAAGAAAATTGTTTGAAAAAGTATAATTCAATTTTCCTTCTTAGTTTCTTTATTAAAATATGCCTACCTTCACCGATGACATCAGGATAAACATTCTGAAACAAAGTCAATGGAGCCTTCTTCCACCACCTCACATCACATTCTTGCTTTGTCTCATCACCCCATAACCCATACGCACATTTTGGTCTAACATTAATATTTGGACCGCAAACGACAACGCCAGGAACATGAAATGCGTTCTGTATTCGCTCACTCGATTCGATAAAAGGACGTTTATTTGCTGTAGTAAATTTGTGAATGTTCAAGTAATATAAATAGATGAGTAATCCAAGCAGCACGAGCAATGTCAAGACTCGAATTCGTTGCTCCCATTTTCTACTTGTCTGTGGCGCTTTAAATGGGCTTCGCATGATTTTTTTATAACTCGATTTTTTTTGGTTTAAATTTTAAAAACAATTTTTCTTAAAGAATGCAGTTATTCTAATAAATAAAATAATTATTTATACGAATGAAGTATTTTGATCATTGATTTCGAGTAGTTTGCTGTGATTGATTTGATTGTATAATGCGCAGACAGAGAAATATCAATGGCTTTTTGATGCCAAGTAACTTGCTATTCTTGAGAATGAATAGCATGTTGTATAGCTAAGGCTCATCAAGTAATGTAAGGAGGAAAATCCAAAGGGCATCATTTAAGTCCCTATTAATCCAAGCCCACATTCATCACACCAAAATCTTTATTTACATCCAATTCCTTTTGATATACACACAATGACTGCATGTTTTACGTGTATATGCTTCCAACACAGACGTTATAACAACCTTATTAAATTTCTCTCGTCTTAAATACAAATCTTTTCTAGAAGGATCTACTCCAAATCCAGAACGTCCAACATCCTGAATGCTCAAAATCCCGACTCTAATATTACCACTATCGTAGTAGCCTTACATTACCCTTAATCTTCATGCGTACATACCTTACATTTACTTCTACTTGTTTTTTAGGATTTTTTGAATCTGGATTTTAGACATTCAGGATTTTGGCTAGAAACGCACCTCTCTATAAGAATATTGTCGGGCAGAAAATCCAGGTTCTTATAGAGAGTTTATTCTTTATAGAGAGTTGATTTTAATATATATAATAATTTATTTGTTCTCAAACATCGGTTCTTATAGAGGTGTGATTGTATTCTGAATTTTGGGCTTTCGGGATGCTGAGCGTTCAGGATTTAGGTATCGGGGTTTTGGCTTTAAGGATTTTGTACTCGATTGAACTGTCTTATTCTTCAGCATTCCTTATTGATATCGTGACATCTGTGAGCTATTAGATGTTGGCGATACTATTACATTAAAAGTAAGAATCAATCGGAAGCAGCTTTTTGTGCACTTTTATCTATCAGATTTTGAACGCCATTTTTGATCCATTTTATAGTCTCACCCAATACCTTACATCAACGAAAATTCATAATCCAAATTAGGAAAGTTGAAATTTGGTTCAGTAAAATTGATCGTTATTACATAATGTCGTCGTAATTACAGATATCAATTGTTTCTTTTAGTTTTTTGCTCCCAATGAATATCGATGAAATGTTCCAAAAAATTATGTTGTTTAACTTCAAGAAATTTTTTATACCATACATTCCGCATAATCATTACATATCGATATGTTAATTTTCGCATATAATAAGACATTTTTTCAATAGGAATTGAATAATATTTCGAAAATAGCACACTATTAATGCATAATGTAAATAAAAAATTCTAGTTTTAAAATATTGCCAGTTCGCAGCCATTGATCTTATTGGTTGAACTTTTTCACGTGATACATGGCTATGACAATATCAATGACAATGATATTAATAATATCGTGCGAATCTTATTCCACGTATCACTAAAGCATCAGCAAAAAAGCGCAAAAACGAGGTTATATGTAAAATTGTTTCCCGACATTTTTAATTAATAAGCCAAGGCACTTTAAAAACGATAATAGTGGCTTGAAAAAGTGACTCTGCTAGAAGACTAGAATTTTTTGACAGCACTAAAATTTATCTAGCATTAGGCCCTTACTCTAGCTTGTCATACTGATACCACTTTCTATTTCTTTTCAAATGGTCATGTAGCAACCACCGTTTCTATACTTTAATTTTGTTATTTTACGTTAGCATTTCTACATATTGTGCACAATCATTATTGTTTTTACTACAATGTTCAACTCACTCTTGATACAGTAAGATTCCCCTGACTTGATGCTTTACTATATTGAGAGTGAATATTTAAAATTGTGAAATAAAATGACTTTTTGAATCAAGCTTAAATAAATTACTTCTGATCATTTTGAAAAAGCTGTTCTGAGCTCTCCATTTGAAATACGTATCCTTTTGGTGATCGTTGCAGAAATTAATTGCTCCTGTACATATTTTTTTATATAATCTTAATAACGATACATATTTATTAATTCGACAATTCAAATGATTATAATAAAATTGAAGTAATTACCGAATTTCAGTAAAGTAAGGTCAGATATTCCTGGACGCAACAATGTAAATGCTAAAAAGTTTGCACCGCGACTTTTAATTAAACTTTATTCAAGTTAGAAAAAACAGATCTAATAATAAAAAATTACTCGACATAAGATAATAAAAACTAAACTAAAACATTCTTTGTCACCTACGTCAAAGATCCCATAAACTCCAAGTACTAAAAAAAGTTACGGGTCATGTGAGTCCGATCTATCCGAACGAATCAAACCAAAATTCCGGTTCGAATTCCGACCCAAACCCAAATTCATTAAAATATGGTTAATTTTTCTAGCAAATTTGATTTGATTTGATTCGGTTGATTTGTTTGATGAAAAATACATTGTTCTTGATTTGTTTGATTTGATTGATGAAAAATACATTGTTCTATGCTTTTTTATTCATACAGATTATATATGTAAAATAAAAATTAGTCCTTCCTAAGTTAGATGTATAAAATAATGTAGAATAAAATTATTAGTTTATTAAAATAATATGTCTTCAAAATGCCATCATAAATCACGTGCTTACCTCTCCTTTTGACGCATAGCTGATTTCCAGACACGTTCTTCCAGACATGATCTTGCACAATTTTTTTCTGTTAATATATATTCAAGTCTATTCTTGGCCTAATATTTGCATATATAAAAAAATGAGTGAAAACAAATCTCAAAGTGAAAAAATATGCAGTAGCTGTTATACATTAAAGAAGATTACAGACTTTTGCCACCCTTCTGCTAATATTCCAGAATACTAATATGCTACTTGCAACCAATGCTCTGCAAGATTGAAAAACAAATGCCAGGAAAAAAATATTCATATATCAAAGAAGAAAGTAAAATTAGATAAGCAACAATATAAATTGAGACAACATCTATCTCGTAATAATAATACCTCTAATGATATTGAACAGCTCTGTATAAGTGGCAGTACTGGATATAATGCTAAACGAAAGTACCAATGGCAACCAGCAGAGTAATAACTCTAAGATGCTCCAATACTATTTAGATAAAGCATCTGAAATTGTTAATGAGTGTTTTAAAGAAGGATCAATGAAACTTGGTGTCAGGCACACTCGATTTAAAAACAATTGAAGAGATTTCATCAGCTTGCCAATATACTTATTATACTGCTCGAATCAGGGTTTTGGTTATTATTGAGAGATATGCAAAATATACCTAAATAGCAAAAAGAAAATGTTCTCAGGTTCCACTACAGTGTATCTCAGCTGCATGATACAGGATGTTCGGGCCTGGAGAAGACCAGACAATTAATCACCGAGAAGATGAAATGAAGCTCGTGCTTCTATTGAAAGATATGCCTGCGTAGGAAGCATCAAACTCACAATAATTCCAGAACAACAATACATTTTTGTTCAAGGCAATCATTAATTGGGCCTGGAAAAGACCAGACAATCAATCACCGAGAAGACAAAGTGAAGCTCGTGCTTCTATTGAAAGATATGCCTGCATAGGAAGCATCAAACTCACAATAATTCCAGAATAACAATACATTTTTGTCCAAGGCAATCATCAAATGGAACATGAGAAGCCAATATACCGGTAGGTTGAATTTCCTTTAAAGGCAAGAGAATGGATTTAAAACAAAATTGAACTCAATATGCGAAGCACAGAAATCTATCACCAGCTTTGCAAGGATAAACTCCTTAATCCAGAGATCCACACAATAGAGCAGGGATATTATTGGATGTTGGTATATAACAAAACAACTTATATAATGAATCAAGCAAACCAGCTTTTATCAGCAAAGCTATATCTTGAAAGGCTTGAACTTATGGAAAGAGGGTTTACAGTTCTTAATTATTTGGAGAATGACTTTGTACGAGCCTTGGGGTTTCTGGTGCCATTAATCAAACGCATCGGTGTCGAGAATATAACCAAAATTATCATAGACTCTATGTTTAAGACAAATCAGGAGAGATTTGAACTCTTTGCAGTAAATGCGAATTGTGGTGGGTATGGTATGCCAATAGCATATCTGTATCTTACCACATCTAGTAGTACCGAGGAAGCTCAACATGATCCAAGAAAAAACTCTACAATTACCAGCATAATACATCACAGTAACGATATCATAGTTTGTTATAGTTTAAGAGAGTTTGTGTTGGAAAATTGAAAAAAATCAAAGTTCCAGATGGCATATAAAAATTTCTATAGTTTATTAATTCTGATTGTATAAAATTGTAATTGAATTATGATAAAAAAAATAAATTTAATGGCAAGAGTTAATATTTATTCGATAATTACATGATGCAGAAATCGGCATACATGATAATAACAATATTTCCAGTAACTATGCAGTCCCAAAACCAAAGTTTTTCTGTTTTTTGTTTTAACAACTTTTGTATAAAAAAAAGAATGGGAAATCATTCAGAAGTTTTTACAGGTATTTATAAATTATATCTATAATATGCTCAGGATCGTAAATTTTAGCTAGTTGCTTTGCAATCTCTTGAGTTCCATCAGTAAGAGTTAAAGTTCGGAGTTGAGAATACGTTGCACACGCAGTTTAATAGTAAAATTTCGTAAGAAACATTTTTTGCAGTGATTTCATAGATGTACAGTACCCCCAAATAGTATCGCCCGGTTCAAAATTGTATAGTAAAACATATAAAAAACGGAAAATTCAAGCTATATGTTCGGAAAATGATTTTTACTTGCAAAATATTTTTTTGTTAGTTAATCTCCAAATAAAAAATCATGTGCGTGAGAACAATTGTTCAGTTTGACAAGAAAATTTTTTACCTATTACGAGTTGGCGTAACTTTTTGCATGTACATGTACTGTGCTTGAGTAACATATATTTTTATGGCAATTGTACGACAGAGGAATTTTTTCCAAAAAAATTTTTATATTTTCCCCTGACAAATAGCA